CGCTCAAGCCTGAAAGGAGAGGCATTACAAGTGGTGCAGATGAGGTTTGTGGATGAACGCGGCTGGCCCTTAGAGCCATGCCCAAGCCCAGCGGACCTGAATGGAATCAACCTTACAGCCCAGAGCAGAAGGAAAAGCTACTGAGAAATAGGAATGGCCTGTGAAAGGGAGCCCTGCCCATGCTGATGGAACTCTCCTTCTTCCTCCAGGTCGACATTTATAACTCAGACCCCCTGATCTGCCGGGCAGGGCTGAAGGTATGCTTCGGCATCCAGCTGCTGAACGCCGTCTCTCGGGTGGAGCGCGCCCTCCCCAAGCTCACTGTGCCCTTCCTGCTGCTCCAGGGCTCTGCCGACCGCCTGTGTGACAGCAAAGGGGCCTACCTGCTCATGGAATCAGCCAAGAGCCAGGACAAGACTCTCAAGGTGAGCAGCTGCCACCTCCCATTTCCCCCCAAGGTTTGGGGGGGGAGGCAGCACCCCTTGGGGCATATCTGCCCAGACCCCTGAGGGCCAACTCCCAGGTCTCGGGATAGGGACCAGTGTGCTTGGCCAAGAAATAAATACAAGGAATCCCAGTTGCCTATGAATTTCAAGAGAACACACGAGTCATTTGCTGATTGTTTCGAATGAATGATGAGCCTCAAAGGGAAGAGGAAAGAACAATTAAAAGATGTTATAGGCAAGAAAAGAATATGCAGCTGGGCACTGAGCAAATCACATCTCCAGAGAGAGGCATGTCCAAGCTCCAAGGATGCATGTGATGCCCAAGCCTCCCTTTGCACCAGCAGTGGCTGCAGTCTCCTGGGGGCTGTGGCCACCAGAGGGCTCAGGGCACACGGGTGCTGGCAGGACTTGATAGAGCCTGATCTTCGAAGGAACCTGCAAGAGCTGGTCCTCCAGCCAGGGGCCCTGAGGACAGGCCCTGCAGCTTGGTTATGTGGAATACTGGATACCAAGACTGCAATGGACTAACTCAAAAGGCCTCTTAAGATGGGCAATGTGGTTCTGGGATCTAGACATGCTCATTTCGTTTGTCTGATTGATGAGAAAAACCTCCTGGAGGGAGGAACACCTACCGGGTACCCATCAAGTGTTATCCCTGGAGATGCTCTGTGCTAGGTTTGGCAGGCCAAGCCCAGGGGCATATTTATATCCTGGTCCATGCAGTTGGGGCTCCCTGGACTGTGCTGCCCTGGGCCTGCCCCCTGGCTCCGTGGCCATTTTTCACTAAGTTATAAAGAGTCCAGGTAACTCACTTCAGCTCACACGCCCACTAAGTATAGAGCTGGGATTGGAACTGAGATTTCTGGACTCAAGTCCCATCATTTCTCTTCTCTCCCTACTGTGCAGACAAAGGCTCCTATCTTTGCATACTGTGAAGTGTGTCCCTGGCATCATTACTGATTTGCAGATGCTGACCCGTATTAGCTCCGGTATAGACTCATAGGTGAAGAAAAACAAATAAAAAAAATAAGGGAAAACTGGCTCTTATTAACACTGGAGAGTCTAAAAACACTGAGCCAGGTGTGGTGGTGCATGTCTGTAATCCCAGCTCCCCAGGAGGCTGAGTAGCGGGGATCACTTCAGCCCAGGAGTTTGAGACCACCCTGGGCAACACAGTGAGACCCCATCTCAAAAAAAAGCTTTTAATTTGAGACAGAATCTCGCTTTGTCACCCAGGCTGGAGTGCAGTGGTGCGATCTCAGCTCACTGCAACCTCTGCCTCCCAGGTTCAAGAGATTCTTCTGCCTTAGCCTCCTGAGTAGCTGGGATTACAGGCACCTGCCATCATGCCTGGCTAATTTTTGTATTTTTAGTAGAGATGGGGTTTCACCATGTTGGCCAAGTTGGTCTCACTCCTGACCTCAGGTGATCCTCCTGCCTCCTCCCAAAGTGCTGGGATTATAGGCATGAGCTACCATGCCCAGCCCAAAATAAATAAATAAATAAATAAATGAATAAATATGTAAATATATATGTAAACATATATATATATTGTTTTTGAGATGGAATTTTGCTCTTGTTGCCCAGGCTGGAGTGCAATGGCATAAACTTGGCTCACTGCAACCTTTGCTTCCTGGGTTAAAGCGATTCTTCTGCCTCTACCTCCTGAGTAGGTGGGATTACAAGTGCCCACCACCATGCCTGGCTAATTTTTGTATTTTTAATAGGGATGGGGGTTCACCACATTGGTCAGGCTGGTCTTGAACTCCTGACCTCAGGTCATCTACCCACCTTGACCTCCCAAAGTGCTGGGATTATAGGTGTGAGCCATCATGCTTGGCAAAATATATTTTTTAAAAGCCAGTGGAACACTGCATTCATCAGTGACAGCATCACTCAGACCACACCCTTACACCAATGTGAACCCTTGCAAGTCCCTGCAAAAGGAGTCCACTAAGATTGTTTATTCATTCACCCAGCTACCCACTCATTGCTTCTTATAGTCAAGTGTTTATGGGGCCCTAAGTTTGTGTTGGGCCCAGAGAACAAGACAGGCAAAGACTCTGCCCTGCCCCCGGGAACCTGTATCCTGGTGGGATGAGCAATCAACAAATAAATGAACAGTATGATGATGGAGAGTGTAGTGCAGGGATAGAGGTGGACAAGGAGGAAAGCAACACTTTAGATGGGGATGGGACAGCCAGGCCTGCAGTCTGCTGGCAAGAAGAGCCAGTGGAAGAAACTTCCAGACAGATGCAAGAGCGAGATTGAGGACCCGAGGCTGGCATAGGCACACAGCCATGAGAAGAGCGGCCAGTGAGGACACACCAGGCAGGGGGGCTTGTGGGGGGGCAGGGGAGCCCCACCACCTGGGAAGTCTAGACGTCTTCTCTTGGTTAGATGAGAAGCCACCCGAGCATTTTGAGCCAAGGAGTGATGTGCTCTGATTTCCATTTTAAAAGCATCCCCCAGTGGCCATGGGGAGATTGGAGTGGGGGTAAAGAGGAGGTGGGGGACAGTGACAACCAAGGCAGGGGAGGCCAGGCAGGGCGGCAGAGAGTGAGATCACTGTCATGAAGAATGAACCATGGGTTCATTCAATGAGGCGACTGTGATGAGACCAGAAATGCCAGGCAGAGAGACTGACGTGAGCAATGGCCAAAGTCCACCTGGAGATGCCTGTTAGAGTTGCACTGAAGTCTGGTGGTGCCCACCAGGAATCCGGATGGAGATGGCAGGTCGGCAGTCTAGAGGCGGAAGGAAAGTCTGGCTGGAGATGTGAATTCCAGAGTCATCAGCTCAGGGTGGATTTTAAAACCACTGGATAGGCGAGGTGACCAGGGAGAGTGAAGGAGGGCACAGTCAAACCTGTAGTCCAGCTGCCTGCAGAGGCCAGTGGGTGGGGTGAGCCTCGACTGAGAAGGCACTGCCAGTTGGAAGAAAACCAGGAGAAGTTAAAGCCATGGAACCATGAGAAGAAAGTGTTTCTAGAACGTAAGAGTGAGCAGCTTATGAATGATGAGCAAAGCGTCCCCTGCCACGGCAATGGAAATCCCCGGAGACTTCGCCAGGATAGCCACCGTGGGTTGGCGAGAATGGAAGTCAGCTTGGGTTGAGCTGAGGACCCCGTGGAGGTCAGGATGTGAGGCCAGGAGTGGAACCCCCTCTTTTAAGGTTGACTGACTCGGAGACACAGAAACGGCTCCAGGGATGGGGAGAGATGTGGAGTGAAGGAAGGTTGCCTTTGAGAAAGGAAGTTCGGGAACATGTTGGGACACTGCAATGCATTTGAACCATCATCTGATAGAAAGGTATTGGCCTCCTAATGATGGGAGGTCAGGGCCACGTCCTCGGGGCACAGGGAGAGGGTCCGGAGAACGCTGTAGACCCCTGCCTGCTGCCCATGGTCTCTGCTCCCCGCACCTACCTCTGATGGTATAGCACTGATTCCGAGTCTCTCCTCATTGCAGATTTATGAAGGTGCCTACCATGTTCTCCACAAAGAGCTTCCTGAAGTCACCAACTCTGTCTTCCATGAAATAAACATGTGGGTCTCTCAAAGGACGTCCGTGGCAGGAACTTCGTCCCCACCCTGAATGCACTGTCCCGTGCCCAGCTCAGGATCTAGGGGACACAGGCAGGGGAAGGGCAGAGATGGCTTTGCAGATGTGGCTTGCAAAAAACAAAACAAAACAAAACAAAAACCCAGAAATTGGAGAAATCCCTAGCACAATTTACTAAAAAATAACAAAAAGACATTTTTTTATACATTAGGCTGTTAGACACTGGACCTACCTTCATGGGTAGACACTTTATGCAAAAAAAGAGAAAGGTCCCAGGTGATTTTTCACAAAGATTGTGCTAAAATATCCACTTAAAACAAAGCCAAGCCTCTGCCTTGCCTCTCCCAGCTCCCACAAGGGTTCCAGGGATCCCTGGTGTTCCCAGGACACCAGACTGCAATAACTGGAGGTGCCTCCCTCCTGCCCACCCCTTGCTCGAGCCCCAGCGCTGTCTCTCACTGGCCTCCACTTGGTGGCCTTTCTCTGGCCATGTGATGAGGTGGCTGCTGTCTCCACAGGGGCCAGCTCCCTGGGGCAGACTCATGTGCTCCTCTGAGACCCAGAAAATGCCCAGCACTTCCTCAAAATGAGCAGCCACCCATGACTTTGTGGGCTCCTTGTCAGCCCGAGGCCAGGCTTTGTGGAGGGGAGGGGGGTGAGGCTTAGCTCAGAAAAAGAACTGAGCAGGAAACTGAGGCTCTTCTCTGCTCCCTGCCCTTCCCCTCCCACCAGGGGGAGACTCAGGTTGGCCCCTGAGTACTGTCTGTACTCACAAAGGCTGCTTTCCCTCTGGAGTCACTAATTTTACCTGATGCTATGAGAGAATTGTATTGAAGATGATATGTCTAATATATAATGTATATTTTAAAGCAGAGACTATTTTGGTGGGTAGGTGGGAGGGAGCAAGGTGAATCTGAGCAATCAAAGGAATCGGAGCTTGATGCTACTGTATAGAACTGGACGGGTTGGGCGGTGGTGGAGCCAGAGGGCCCTATGCTTTAGGAACTGAGCCAGCAGCCTTTCCTATGGGCAAGGTCTGGTGCCCTTCCTGCCCCTCCGGGACCATGGAGCAGTGGCAGCCCATGGGGATGTGGTCCCTGGGCCTGGGCCTACCTACGGCCCAGAGCTACCCTGAGAGTGTCAGTGCTAGCAGCACAGCTACCTCTGGTGGCAGGAGAAGAGAGTCCCAGCACAGGGGCAGGCCAGGCCTCCCTGCCCAGGTCTACACGGAGCACTCAGTGACCCAGAGCAGGGAATGGAGGTACTCCCAGCCCTGCCCCAGGCCACAGCAGGACACGCCAGGCCAGGCCTCACCCAAGGCCAAGGCTGGCATCACCTTTTGGAGCCGAGGCCCTAGGCCTAGTCTGCCCTTCTCAGGTGCCAACACCACCCAGTCCTGCCCTTGGCCTCACTTGGTGCCAGCAATAAGTGGGGGGTCACCGCCTTGGGAATACTTTCATCTTCTAAATGGGACTTGCTCTTACGTCAGGAGGCCCCTTAGTGCAAATATGACCCTGGTCAGGGTGTTGCCACCATTGAAGCCCTGCAGAAGGTGCAATCTAGGGATCCTGGGGCCACGGAAGAGGGGGCCACTTCCCACCAGGGCCCCCAACGTGACATCTAGGCATCGGGGGCTCCTGCCCTTCTTCCTCCCACAGCAGGAACTGCCACTGCTCTCCCAGGCCCTGTTCTGGAGGCTAACCTTGGTCCCTAGAGAATGCGCCCCTCCACCCTCCCTCCAGCAGCCCTGACCACACCATGGCAGAGCCAGGAACGGATCACCCTGCTGAAGATCACTCTGTGCCCTAGGGCAGGAGCCAAGCCCTCACTCCACATGGGGCAGGTGGGGGCCTGGGTGCTGACCCGGCCCATGTCCCCACAGAGCGCCTTCCGTAGTTTCAGCTTGTCTCCCTGGCTTTTCTTTGAAGGAGAAAAATGTAAAATGCATGCTGAGAGAGAAAGCCAGCCCTGCCTGCTCAGTCAGCCCCGGCAGCAGGACAGCCATGGGAATGTTTCTGCTTCTCAGCTCAGGAAAAGCAGGAACCCTTTCCCAAAGCCCAGAGAAGCCCTGGGCTCAGATCTGTAATTCTCCCCAGGAGCTGTGATAGAGCAAGTCACACAAAAGTCCCTACACCTCCCCGCCGCCTCCCCCAGACGCATGTGATGCCATCGCCATTCCCCAAATTAAATATCGGCATGCAGCCTGACTAGGGACTCTTTAGATGCATGACTTTATTTACATGAAGGCTCTCACAGACACACATGACACTTCAGTAGTATTTGCATTCCTGGTTAAAGAATCACCAACATTTAAAAGGAAAACTTTCCTGAAATTGGGACTCTTTCATGTCATCTGGAAGGGGCTGGTACATCCACCCACCATGTCTCCCTGCTGGGTCAGGAGCCTGCACAGGGCCCCACACATGAGCGTGCCTAACATCTCACGCATGGCCACTCCAGAGCCAGCCCTGTCTTGGAAAGCCGTGAAGCCTTGAGTTGAGTTCCTTCTCGGTATTGACAGCTCCGTGCCGACATTCTGAGCTCTGGAGTTGCACCAGCACAGGGACAGGGAGGAAGCGAGGCTTGGAAGGGATGCCAGGTCTTGCACAGCTTGGCCTCAAGGTGAGAGGAGGGCAGAAGCCAGGAGGGGATCCAAAGGCCTGGGACACAGGGACCAACTGCCACTGTCAACACAGCCCGGTCCATACAGAAATGGATTTCATGCCTGGAAAGCTTTTTAGAGAAAGATGCCACCTGCGGCCGGTGACGGCCACAAACCTACTGGCCATGGTTCCTTGAAGCGGTGAGGGGTAGAGAGTCAGCCTCCCTCCCTTGCAGCAGTGACCCAGCTTCCCTCCACTTCCAGGTGGCTCTGGGCTCACCGTGGCAGCACTGGTGGGTGCTCTGAAAACCCACAGGCTCTGCTCGGACCCCACCCCCAGGCCGACGCAGGTCCCATCTCACTCTCTTCTCTCACCAATTGCTAACATAGACCTTATTGGGATCATGATGGCTTCACAAGCCAGCTGTCGGGTTTGCTATGTCACTGCGGCTGGGTCACATCCCCGCGTGTATACTGTCTGCGGGGCACATATGTATCCGTTTAGAGCTCAAGGAATCAGTGTACACTACAGCTAATCCTAATAAACCTGATGTTTTCGGAATGGCATCTGTCTGTCTGTCATAGCAGCCTCGGACCCTGGATGACAACCTTCCTTGCAGAGAGCACAGCAGGCCCTTTTCGAGACAGGCTGAGCCCTGGCTGAGCCACGCCTGTCACCTGATACCAACTCCAGCAGTGCTTCCCGGATCAGCATGTGTGAAGTTTATCTTCTCCCATCCACACCTGGAGCAGATTTCTAAACACACATATCCACTTACAGACCTTGCCCTGCCACTGGGGAGGACGAAGCCCAGGCTGCCCCCTGCACCAGCTTCACGTGGCTTGGGCTTCCTCCAGGGCCCCATGTGGGGCCTCAGCCCTCCCTCCTCAGCACAGGGAACCTGACCTCCTGCTGCTGGGCATCTTCCACACCCCTCTCTGTTCCACACCCACACCTGACCCAGCCGCTCCCCTTCTGAGTGTGGCCAGGATCATGTGGCTTCCCTCCAGCCGCACGGCTGTCACCAGCATCTGAGGGACAGCAACAGCGCCCTCCTTGGCAGGCCCCACTTTCTCACCTGCACCTGGTCTGTTTCCATATGGAGGTGAGAGGTCTGTTAACGTGCAAGTCAGACTGCGGCCTTTCTCTGCTCAACATCCTCCAGTGGCTACCATCTCACCTCAATAAAAATAAAGGCTGTGGTTCTTGCTGAGGCCTATGGGCACTGGGCCTTTGGCCTCCCTGCCTCCCCTCTCCCCATCCTCCACGTCCACTTGGTCCTCACTATGCCGGCCTCCTCACTGGCCGTATTCTTAGTGAGGCCCCCCCAGGCCCTGCCCTGCCTTCTCCTCCAGCACATTTGTTGACATCTGACATGACAGATCTGCTTGTACTCTTGGTAGCACTCTGTCCCCTCCCATGGGAATGTGAGCTGCAAAAGGGCTTGTCCCTGCACTATACCTCTGCCTGCTTCCCAGAAGGTCCCTGGAAAGATCTGTCTGATAGGACAAGGAGGGAAGGAGTGGGTGAGTGAATGAATGAGTGAGTGACAAAATGATGTCTTTATCTTCTCCCTCAGGAGGAGCCAAGCACCCATCCTATGCAGGACAGGTGAAGGCCCAGGTGCTGACTGAGTCCAGGTACCGGAAGAGAGTGCCTACCATAGCCCCATCTTCTCTCTTTGGTTTCTCTTTGAGGGAGAAAAATGTAAAAAATGCACTGACATGAGTGAGTGAGAGAATGAGCAAGTGAGGGAATGAATGAGTGAGGGAATGAATGACTAAGGGAATGAGTGATGAGTGAGGGAATGAGTAAGGGGTCAGTGAATGAATAAGCAAGGAAATGAATGAGTGAATAAATGAGGGAATGAGTGAGTGACGAGTGCATGAGTGATGGAATGAATGAGCAAGGGAATGAATGAATGAGGAAGTGAGTGCATGAATGAATGGGGGAATTAGTGATGAGTGAATGAAGGAGTGAGCAAGGGAATAAGGAAGTGAGTAAATGAATGAGTGAGGGACTGAATAAGTGAGTGAATGAGGAAATAAGAGAATAAGTGAATGCACGAGGGATGAAGGAATGAGTGATGAGGGAATGAGTGAGAATGGATGAATGAGGAAATGAATGAGTGCAGAAAGGATAATGAATGAATGAGGGAGGGAATTAAGGAAGGAATAAGTGAGTGAATGAACTAATGAGTGAATGAGGGGATGAATGAAGGAATGATGAGAATGAGAATGAATGAGAGCAGGAGGGAATGGGGGATGAATGAAGGAATGAGAGTGAGGGAATGAGAGAATGGATGAGGGAGGGAATTAATGAGGAAGTGAGGAAATGAGAGAATGAGAGAATGAGTGAGGGGATGAATAAATGAGGGAATGAGTGAAGGAATGGATGGGTGAGGAAATGAAAGAATAAATGAATGAGTGAATGAGTGAGAGAATGGATTGAGGAAATGAGTGACAGAATGAATGAGGGGATGAATAAATGAGTGAATGAGTGAATGAATGGATGCTTTAATGAGTGAGGGGATGAATAAATGAGAGAATGAATGAGGGGAATGAAGGGGATGAATAAATGAAGGAATGAATGAGCATGGGAATGTGTGATGAGGGAATGAATGAGCAAATTAGTGAGAGAATGAATGAGGGGATGAATGAGGGAATGAGTGAATGAATGGGTGAATTAATGAGGAGGTGAATAAATGAGAATGAGAGAATGAATGAGGGAGTGAGTGGGAGAATGGATGAATAGTAGGATGAATGAGTGAGGAAATAAGTGAGAGAATGAGGGGATGAATAAACAAGGAAATGAGTGAGTGAGAGAATGGATGAGTGAGGGAGTGAGTGATGAGGAAATGAGTGAGTGGCCGAGGGAGAGAGGGAGAGAGGAAGGAAGCAGGACGGCTTTATCTGGGCCAGGCACTGAGCTGGGAACTGGGTGTGGATGCAGGGTAGGCCTCGCAGCTGGCCACCCGAGCAGTGGTCCAGGCCCCATGCTAGAACGGCCGTGGGTTTGGGTGAGTGCTCTGCTGTTGCTCTCTGGAAATTCTCAATGCTCTTTGAGCAAGGGCCCCATGTACTGTTTTGCACTGGGCCCTGCAAACTGCTCAGGCCCTGGGTAGGTGGCAGCTGGCCTCTGTGCAGATCCCCCAAAGGTGCGCACACCTGAAGGACTGCACATTCTCTCCAGGCCCTCAAGCTCTACTTACGGCCAACCAAATTTTGCCCAGAACTTCACTATATGAAACCTAGAGCCAATGTTTGCGTTTGTTAGTTTTCAGCTTCTTCCATGAACACTAGGCTCATCACAAGCTCCTTACTGGGCAACTGTGATGTGCTAGGCACGGTGTCCAGCACTGGAAGGAACAGTGACCAGGGCAGAACAAAGTGGGCCACCCTCACAGAATGAAGACCCTAGGCAACACGGATCCCACCCCAGAGCCTAACAGCAATGGACACCCAGCTGCCACCAGCACAGACTGTGGCCAGCACAGCCCTCCAGAAGCCGAAGGTGAGCAAGAGTGGGCTGGAGTTGGGGGCACAGCAGAGGGGTCTGTGGGGGACTTATCAAGGTGCAGAAAGCTCAGGGTGGCCCCAGAACTGAGAGGCTCTCAGGATGGCTGGAGCACAGGGGTGAAAGGCATGTTCATTTGGGGCCCTGCAGGAAATGGCTGCACCTAACCAAGGGTGATGTCAATAAAGGGGTTGGCAGGGGATGATGAAGCATGCGGGAATAGCCACGGCAGGGAGTGGACCCCCCAGAGCAGCAGTCACTGAGGGAGAGGGCCGCCTGTCAGGGCCAGGGCTTTAGATAGAGAGCTGCCCAGCCCCACCTTCACTACTTGGTGGTCAACGTTGTCCCTACACTACGTTTCCTGTGCAAAATGTTTACTTCCCTTCCACCATTGCTCATTTTGTCATTGTCCAATTTATTTATTTTGAGACAGGGTCTCACTATGTCACCCAGGCTGGAGTGCATTGGTGCAATCACAACTCACTGCAACCCCAACCTCTTGGGCTCAAGCCATCTTCCCACCTCAGTCTCTAGAGTAGCTGGGACTACAGGCGCGTGCCACTACGTCTGGTTAATTTATTTTTTGGAGAGACAGAGTCTCACTGTGCTGCCCAGGCTGGTCTCAAAATCTGGGCTCAGGCCATCCTCCTACCTCAGCCTCCCAAGGTGCTAGGATTACAGGCATGAACCACCATGCCGAGCCTATTTTTCTATCTGTTAAAATATTGGGGGTATCTTGAGCTGGGAGAGAACACATACAATTTTTCCAATAACACGATAGAAATATTTTTCATTCAACAATAAAATTTTTTTTCACCTGGAAGTAGGAATGAATTAAAGTAAGAGATAAATTTTTGTTTTTATTTTAAAGGTAGCACAGCTACATCACAGAAACTAAACAGAAATCAGATCAAATATCGCTGGCTCACACAGCAATTCTTCCTCTGGTTTAGGGATGATGGAGGAGTCTCAAACCCAGGGCCTCTGTGTCAAAGTGTGTCTTCTATTAGTCTACTTTAACATTTGTCAGAGTAGGGCACGCTTCTGAATTTAAATCAACCTAATTTTAGAACCAAGTATTAGACACTAAATTTCAGATTCCACGGTTGTAGTTCTACTCGTGTGTGGTTGTCTGTGCCACGGGTTTCTCACAGAAACCTGGGGAGCAACCCCTGGGCCTGAACATCCTCCACCTTTTCCTTGTGGATGCAGAGGCCGCACTGACCACCCTCAGGGCTGCAGGAAGCTCTGCACATCCATGCTCTCTCACTTCCGTCTCACTTGCGGCTCGCTGCGGCTGCTGGCAATGTTTCCTGTTGATTTGCAACACCACATTGGACACCTTCTTACACAAGTGTTTCCCCATCACGCTGTCTTCTCTGCCTGAGGCTAAAGTGAGGAATGGGGCCGGGTGTGGTGGCTCACACCTGTAATCCCAGCATTTTGGGGGGCTGAGGTTGGTGGATCACTTGAGGTCACGAGTCGAGACCAGACAGGCCGGCATGATAAACCTTGTTTCTACTAAAAAATATGAAAATTGGCCAGCCATGGTGGCATATGCCTGTAGTCCCAGCTACTCAGGAGGCTAAGGCACGAGAATCATTTGAACCCAGGAAGGCAGAGGTTGCAGTGAGCCGAGATTGCGCCATTGTACTCCAGCCTGGGTAACAGAGCTAGACGCTGTCTTAAATAAAATAAAGTGAGGAATGGGTGGTGTGGCTGGGGAATGTTGCCCCACAACCACACAGCCTAGCTCCTGAGGGGTGGCACTTCTCAGACTGCAGCTCTCCCCGCACAGATGCCGTAGCTGGTACACCTGGCTATATCTGCTGTATCAGTGAACCACTAGAATACCAACTCTAGAGAATTTCTCCTTAAACTGCCCTCTCACTAGGGGTTTAAAATTCATTCAAGATTGGAATCTTTATGACTACATCTGTAAAAAATGAAAGGTTTCATGCAGTAGCTCATTTTCTCTCCTAATGCACATGAAAAGAAATGCATAGGATTAGGTGCCTACCTACAAGAATGCAAAAGAGAGGAAATAAGAAGGGCAAACTAAAGTAAAAAAAAAAATGCATAGGAATTAAACTTTTTTCTTTAAATGTTTAAATCTCTCTCATGTATCTTGGCACAACAGGATTTGTGTGTGCTCTGAGGTGAGACCTGCTGGTGTTAGGCCACTAGCCTGGCTTCATTCTTCCCTTCCTGTGTGCCCTACGAAAACCAGAGTGAGCCCCTGTAACTCCCCTGCTCCCACCTCCCACCCACCGGGTGGACTCAACCTTTGTTTAACAAACACACCTACACTGGGTATTCTAGTTAAAAAAAAAATTAAAAATTAAAAAAAAACAAAAACACCAGGTTCAGGATAGGCCAAACACCAGCTAAGAGGGAGTTGCCATAATCACCCCCAATTTATGGGTGGGCAAACAGACACAGCGGTGGCCAGCAGTGAAAGGCTGAGCGGTGGCCGGCAGTGAAAGGCAGAGCTGCAGTGGGGATTGAGCCTCTGGCTATAGCTGGGCTGTGGCCATGCACGGACCCCTCCCAGCCCATTCCCATTTCAGGCTGTTTCAGGCTCCCAGGCCCTTGCACAAGCCACACCCTCCACCCACAGGCCCTCCTTGGACACTTCCCCTCCCCACCACCCCAACACAATCATCACCTCGTGCAGGCTGCACCATGACTTGTCCCAGCAGATCCTTCAGTAGTGGTCACTTCAGACCTACCACTTCCCCCATGTGACGACCAACATGCCAGTGGCCGGGGAGGAAAAAGAAAAACATCCAAAAATAACAAAGTGAAAAGGCATGAAGACACTGATATGGCTGGCTCACACCTGTAATCCCAGGACTTTGGGGGGCCAAGGCAGGCGGGTCACCTGAGGTCAGGAGTTCAAGCTCAGCCTGGCCAACATGGTGAAACCCTGTGTCCACTAAAAATACAAAAATTAGCTGGGCATGGTGGTGTGCACCTATAATCCCAGCTACAAACATAGGAGGCTGAGCAGGAGAACTGCTTGAACTCAGGAGGTAGAGGTTGCAGTGAGCCAAGAGAGATCATACCACTGCGCTCCAGCCTGGGCAACAGAGTGAGATTCCATCTTAAAAAAAGAAAAGGCATGAAGAGCTGTGGAACAACTGCAGGAAGGGTGATATGCCTGATATTAGAAGCCCTGGGAAAGAACCAGCCTTCCTTTCCTCTCCCAGGTCCGTGACACCACTCTGATGAGTTTAACCAAGTTAGAAGGCAGAGAGGCCTGTGGCGTACACAGGCCTGCAGCACATCATGAGAAACCCCCTTGGGGCTCAAATACCCCAAATGAAGGCCCTAAAAGCAGCCTCAGAAGCAGGAGCTTCTTCTCATTGACCTTCTGCCCCAAACTCTCAGTCTCATCATCCCCTAAGGCTGGCCACAGAAACTAGAATCCGTCTTCCCCTAGGTGGGCCCTAGAAACCAGAGCCCCTTTACCCCAAAGCCAGCCATAAAACCTAAAAATAGGACTCTCACTTTCCCTCTGCCCTATCTGTGTAAAAACTGGCCGTAAAGTAATGACCTGGCCATAAGACTCACCCTGTTACTATAGGTCATAAAACCCCCATTCCAGAGGGTCCTGCCCCACACCCAGAAGACAGGCAGGCAGGCTGCTCAGAGAGAGCAAGAATAATCTAGACAGGCCTCGCTGCATTTCCCCATTCAGTCAGCATTGGATCCTGTACTTTTTAACCAATCCCATTTGTCTTTGGGTCTTCATTCTAAAGATGCTCATGTCTATATGCTAAATAAATTTGCCTGTCTTTCCCCTGCTACTCTGCCTTTTGCAATTTTTCAGTGAAACTTCAGAGGGCCAAGGAGAAAGGTGGCCCCTGCAGCTCACCTTCCCCAAATAAGGTGGCAGCCCCTGCAGGAAGGGCCACAAGGGCTTCCCTGGGGAAAAGACTGGCGCTAGACTGAGAGAAAATGGTCATTTTCGTCCTGGCCCTCTCCCACCATGGCCAGCGTCCATGGGGACTGGGAGGTAGGGAGCCAGGCTGGGCTCAGGCCAGGCTAGGGTAGCGGGAGATCTCTAGGTCTGCTCAGCCAGGTACCCTTGGGCTCTGAGTCAGCCTCTGCTGGAAGCCCCCAACTCTAGAGCTCCTTTCCTTGGTCCCCACCAGCTCCTTTGGCTTCAGAAGGCCCCACCCTTCCCAAGCTGTGCCCCAGGACACAGACTCAGGCTCCCACAGTGCCTTCAAGCTTTATTGCCATACACACTCCCCCAGCCCTTTCTGAATAGTCCTGTGCATGGGAGCACTGGCTCAGAGAAACAAGCCAGGGCTGGGCGACGGCCAGAAGACTGGATTTGGGGGTGCAGGATCTGGGGAAGGAAAGTGCTAAGACCAAAGCCCACCCCTACCCCAGGTTTCCCTGAGTGGTGCCCATCCCCAAGGGTCTTGGGGGCTGGCTTGTGCATTGGGGGGAGGGGGTTAATCCCAAATGGATCCTCCTCTGGGGTCTCCAGGCTCATGAGGAGAGAGAAGCCCCAATGAGCCCTCTGCACCCACCATGAAGCCCTCAGTATGCAGGGAACAAGAAGAAGAGCTGCACAGAAACACACACACAGGCTTGTCTCCAAGGGAGCTCCTGGCCCCTGGGGCTACCCAGGCAGGAGTTCAACAGTCCAGGCCAATGGACACGAGCAGATCCTCGAGCACCCGAAGCCGCTGCTGTGCCTCCTCGATGGCGCTATAGGTCTGCACTGTGCTGGCCACGTGGAAGCGGATGTCGTCCACCAACGGGATGGAGTCCGTCTCCTGCCGGGCCGCCACAGCCGCTGCCTCCTCCTTCACTGCCTCCACGAAGTCCTCCCGCTCCACCAACTAAGAGCAGGAAGGGCCAGCTCAGTGCAGGGGTATCCATCTCTCACCCCTCCTGCCTGCCCGCTGTAGCCCTGCCGGCCCACCTTCTCAACGACCTTGGCCATGTACTCAGTGCACTGGTCCTCAAGCCGACCCAGGCGGAAGAGCTTGGCCACGCGCCACACGCCCACCACGCTGTCCTCATCCAGCACCTGGGCAAGGCTGCGCCCGCACAGCCTCTTCAGGCCTGGCAGCAGGTACATGTCAGCAACGCTCAGTACATCGTAGGCCACCTCGGGGGACAGCTGCAGTGAAGAGAGGGATGAAGGTGCCCCCCGAGGTCACCAAGGGTTCCCAGGGTTGAGCAGCCAAGGCTAGAGACTGCAGGGGTTGGGGAGGCAGCAGCAGGAAGGCTTCCAGTGGGAGCAGGAGCTCCCTGGCATGCGCGGGGTTGGCCCAGATTCCCACAGAGATCTGCGGACCACTAGGGGGAACAAGACTGGGGGGCTCCCATTCCTTGGGCAGGCTGGCAGGCTAGGTGGGAGGCAGGGCCCTCGCAGGGGCCAGGATCTGAGCTCTGAGTCGCACAGACCTGGGTCTGACACTTCTAGCTGTGGGGCCCTGGGCAAGTCACTGCACATCCCTGTGCCTCCAGTTCCTGGTCCATGAGTTACAGACAACCATGCCTATCTCGGGAGGCTGTCTGAACCCTGGGACAGAGGCAGCTAGTCAAGACCCAGGCAAGGACCCTGCCAGGGGAGGGGGACAAACTATCTACCTACTCTCTCCCTCTCGAGAGGCTATGGTGACACAGAGCCCACCTACAGGTTCATCCTGTGCTAGGTAAGACTGAAGCCCTCAGCTTTGGGCCAGAGCCTGGGCAGTACAGGGAACAAGCTGCAGACAGAAACCAGGGGAGCTCTGCGACCACATTACAGGTGTGTGCCATGTGCTGTGCCACCTCTTTTACCTGGATAACCCATGCATCTGCACAAGGCCTTAGAAGTGATGATGAGCACTATCCCCATGTTCTAGAGGCACAGAACAGTTAAGTAACTTGCCCAAGATCACACAGCTCACCTAGTGTCACACACCTCAACCAGTATTAACCCAGGTTTGGAGACCAAGCCACGCTCTGAGACAAGGTGCCCTTGGGGTGGCGAGGCTCCTTGAGGAGGGAGATTCTCCAGGGTGGGCAAAGGTAACAGGGGCCAGAGAGCTGGGCTGAACTGCAGGAGATGCCCAATAGAGGAGGCAGAAAGGATGGAGGCCTCGGGGAAGAAAGGACAAGGGAGCAGTCACTTGAGGCAAAGCAGCAGTAGGGTCTGCCCTCTGTCCCCCAGCATGCTTCTTCCCCTTCCCCCACAAAACAGGAGCCTGGCGACAGAATCACTTTCCTAGCCTCCCTTATTGGCAAGTAGGCATGAAGTTCTCTCCAGGGGAACATGAGAAGTAGAGTGTGCAACTTCCGGTGGCTTCTACAAAAACAACATTGCTTTCCCTGCCTTCCTCTTCCTCCTAGAGCATGAGTTTGCCTGGGACCGAATCTCCATGGCCAAAGGCAATGCCCCAGGGCAGGGTGGGTAAGCTACAGCCCATGGGCCAAATCCAGACTGTTTGTGCAAATAAAGATTTATTGGAACACAGCTTCACCTACTCATCTCTGTACTGTCTCTGGCTGCTTTGCATTAGAGTTGAGTAGCTACAATAGGGCCGTATGGCCCACAGAACCTGAAACACTCACCTTTAGAGAAAAGATTTTTGACCTCCAACCTTAGGCATAGAGGAGCAAGATGGAGGGATGACCTGGTCTTCAGCAAGCCACCTGCCCTGGGACGCCCACCTCAGTCAGATGTGAAGGAGAAACAAACTGCCTTCTTCTTTAAGCCAACAGATATAGCGGTCTCTTTATTACACACACACACGCGCACATACACACACACACACACACACATATGCACATACACACTCACTGTCACACAGCCTGGCACAGCAAACCTTCAGCACTCTGCTACTGCCCTGCAGCCTTGGCTTAGGAATGCCTTGGGGCAGCTGGAGACAGAGGGAGGCAGGAAGGGAAGAAGAGACTGAGAACCTAGAACCCCAGGGATCTGCAGCGCTTCAGAGGGAGGGGGCTGTCCCCACCTACCCTCCACCCTCCTGCTGGAGAAGCTGAGGACCCCAAATGGCTGACAAGTGTGAAGTGCCTGTGACACAGGCCTTGTCACTCAGCCTCTCTCTGGAGCCTAACAAGGCTTCCTCTGCCTGAAAGAAAAATCCAAAGTCCCACAGCCTTCCTCTCCAGCCTTCTCAAAACATCAACCATGGGGCCAGCTGGGCCCTTCCACAGACCTCCAGGGCCCTGGCACTCTCTCTCAGCCCACGGCAGCACAGGCTGTGTGCCATCCCCAGCCCCGCCTGAGCCCCCACCTCAGTGTGGTCGCTGTACACGTAGTAGAGCACGTGGGTGAAGATGTCGGGTGAGATGCCGTGCAGGGTGATGGCTGGAGGGCCCCCTGAGGTCGCTGGCTCCTCGCTCTCTCGGAAGTGGTCATCCAGCAGGGCTCGGAAGTAGTCACTGCGGCCACGGAAGAAGGCCTGAGGGAGGCCAGGCTCAGGAAGTGCAAGGGCCAGGGTCTGTCTCCTGAGGAGCTAGACCCGGGCTCAGGCCAGCGGGCTGGGGCCAGGGGCAACAGGAGGGCACAGGCACCTTGTGGCAGAGGAAGCTGTAGCCGGCCACTCGGAAGCAGATGTCAGGGCAGCTGTTGAAGCCGTCAGGACAAGGGAAGGGCAGCTCCCCAAGATCACCCTGGGGTACAGAAGAGGCGACCCCATCAGAGCAGTTGTTCACAGAAGTGAACGACTAGGTTCAGAAAGGGAAGTAACTGGGCCAAGGCCACACAAGGAATTGGGCCCAAGTATCTGAGCTGCCTGTCACAGCCTGCCAACCCAAAACACCCCTCCTACCCAGCAGTCTCACACTTACTCGGAGCTCGGGGGGCAGGGCACAGTCGGCCAGCAGCGCCATGTCCTCCCGGAGCCGGGGGTCTGCAGGGGGCGGTTCGATGGTCAGCACCTTCACACATGTGCCTGGCTTAGACGCCACTAAAGGGGGAAAACAGCTTCAGGGAGCCAGGCCGGCCCTGCCAGGCCCCGCCCATGGCCCGGACCCCAAACCCTGCTCGCACCAAACTCAGACACCTTCTCGAACTTGGCTTCCAGGTCGCTAAGCAGGTCCCACAGCTGGCACTGCTTGGCCAGGCGCTCACAGTCACTCACGTGCTCTACACCAATGTCCAGGCGGCCTGGGGGCAGTGGGGAAGATGAGGGCCTGCAGGAGCTCAGCTGTCATTAGGCCCACAGAAAAAGGGTGATTGCCTCCCACCTGGCCACATGTCTGCAGGGCTAGGACTCCTGGGCCCACTTGCCACCTTGGTTTCCCCATCAAGAGCTGCTGCCTGAGTTGTACAGGCCCCAGGGAACAGATGGGAGGGGCTCAGCATGTTGGTGGGACAAGCTCTTCCTGAGCAGGCACACCGGTTCTCTCTCTTGCAACCGAACCCAGGAGGCAGCTGGAACCACCTCCCAGGGACCACGAAGTGTCTAAAAGTGAAAGGTCAGCCCAGCCACACCTAGATATACCGCTGTCCCACTCCCTCTCCTCCTACCCTGGGCCCAGGGGGTCACCTGTGTACAGGTACTGCAGCAGGGCCCCAAAGGCCACGGGGTTGATCTGTGGGCAGAGAGCCAGAAAGGAATGTCAGAGGCAGCCACTCAGCACAACCCTCTGCTGTTCCTGGGGAGTCCATGCCCCTCTGCCACCCTGAAGGGACATACCAGTGGGTGCCTGAGAACCACAACACTCTTGCCCTTCCATTTGGTGTCCAGCATGTTGGCAAAGTAGGTACTGCGTGCACCCAGGACACAGCGATGTGCCCGGAATGGCTTCCCATGTACTACAAAGACCACGTCACTGTGGATGCCCTGCTCTAGAAGCCTGGGGAGGGAAGAGCAGGGATGCTCAGCACAGCCCCTACCTCATTCCTCCAAGTACCCGCAACACTGTGCAGGCCACAGCCAGAGCAGACCCACCACCCCTACCAGGGCCACCGCACCCCATGCTGCATCCCTCGAATGCTCTGGCTCACCGCTGCAGGAAGTCATCATAGTAATCCCGCCTCCTGCAGGAAGCCGTGACCTGCTTGTAATCTCGTAGAGCCCGGCGGATGGGGTCACTCAGTGCCCCATAGAGGCAGCGCTCACCATCGAAGGTGTTGGCCTCACAGCGGGCCCCTGGGGGAGGCAGGGCTCATAAGTTAGCAGGGGAGGGGCCTGGGAGAAAATCTTTTTTTTTCTGAGACGGAGTCTCGCTCTATTGCCCAGCTGGAGTGCAGTAGCACAATCTCAGCTCACTGCAACCTCTGCCTCCAGGGTTCCAGCGACTCTCCTGCCTCAGCCTCCCAAGTAACTGGGACTACAGGCGCATGCCACTATGCCCAGCTAATTTTTGTATTTTTAGTAGAGGCAGGGTTTCACTATGTTGGCCAGGATGGTCTCCATCTCTTGACCTCGTGATCCACCCACCTTGGCCTCCCAAAGCGCTGGGATTAAGGGCGTGAGCCACCACACCTGGCCAGAAATTCTAATCTCCCTGTCCCTCCTCCCCACCTTCCCACACATAGGGCTCCAAATCTCTGGTGACGCCTTCCCAAATTACCCTGGGCCCACTCTGACCCCAGCATCCTCCCAGTCAAGGGTTAGGCAAACAGGCACATCTGTGAGCACTCACACAGGCACTTACTCACATGGATGACCAGACTATACAAAACTGAGAGCAGACTCAGTGCCTGGGCCTGTCCCACACACTGGAGCACAGCAGTGAACCAGACAGATGGTCCCTGTCCTGCTGAACTTTATCTAATGAGGCAGGACAATGAACATACTACCTAATGATGGCAGGGACTATTAAGAAAAACATGGCTGGGCGCAGTGGCTCACACCTGTAATCCAGGTACTTTGGGAGGCCAAGGAGGGAGGATCACTTGAGCCCCAAAGTTTGAGACCAACCTGGGCAACGTAGTGAGACCCTGCCTCTACAAAAAAAATACAAAAACTAGCCAGTGATCCCAGCTATTTGATGATCTGAAGGGGCTGAGGCAGGAGGATCACTTGAGCCTGGGAGGTTAAGCCTGCAGTGAGCCAAGATTGTGACACTGCACTCCAGCCTGGGTGACAGACCAAGACAGTCTCCAAAAAAAAAGAGAAAGAAAGCAAACCAAAATAGGGTGAATGGCAACACTGGATGAAGGGAAGTCATGAAAGGTCACTCTGTGATGGTGATGGCATGCAGAAGCCTTAATGAAGAAGGGGAGAGGGCCATGGGAACATCTGCGCAAGGGCAGTCCATGCAAGAGGAAATGCAGGTGCAAAGGCCATGGGGCAGGAACAGGTGCATTCATGGCACAGTGGAGCCCCAGCGAGGCCAGTGTGACAGTGAACAAGCAGGGAGAGCCGAGGGAGCAACGCCAGCGGGGGGGCAGACCTTGTGGAGCCTTGGGCATGGCCAGGCAGGCTCACTGTATCGCAGAAGTGGTGGGAACTCACCGGAGGATTTTTAGCTGATTAGATTCATTGTGAAAAGATCAACTTGGTTGCAATATGGAGAACAGAGTGAAGGTGGGGCAAGAGGGGAGGCTGGCACTGTGTCTGGGGAGAGATGCTGATGGCTGGGCCCAGGTGGTATAAGTAGAGATGGAGAGGGTAGACAAAGAACAGGTTTTAAAGTAGTGCTAATAGTACTTGCTGATTCAACTGGGTGGTAAGAGAGGAAGTGGGGTGGTTTGCAAATATGTATGACGGCCTTTGAATGCATGCAAGCATGCACACATGCATCCTCACACACACACCCCTGAGCCAGCTCCCTGCTCTCACCATTGGCCAGAAGGTAGAGTACCAGCTCCTCATGCCCACACAAGCAGGCATAGTACCTGAAGGGAGGAAGGAAGTACAGGAGGCAGTCCTCAGCACTGAAGGGGTGTACCACCCCCCACCCCCCACTTCTCTCCCCAGCACTCACAAGGGGGTGCTGTCCCACTTGTCCCGCACATTCACCTCCACATCTCGCTGCTCCAGCAAGTACCTGGGCAGGAAAGAGGTCAGAGCCTGGGTCAGGATGGGTTCATGGTCTGAGAAAGAAGGCCCATGGAAGGCAACGGAGGAAAAATATCCCTTTTGGTCTGGGGAAGCTTCCTCAAGGTGAGGGCAGGTGACAGGCAGACCAGAGAAGGAGAGTCGCTCCAGGCAAAGTGCAGGTAAGGATGTGGAGGTGGGATTGGACAGGCAGATACTGTGTGCCATCAGTGCTGGGAGACGATGGGCTACAAGGGCAGAGGCCAGCGCCAGTGCTGAAGCTGGACCTTTGGCCTTTCGGTGTTTGGGAGAGAGAGGTGATGGGGGCTTCGCCTCGGCCAGAGCCCTCTACTGCAGGAAGAAGCTGGCTCTGCTAGAAGCAGGGAGCCTGGGGGAAAAGCTGCTGCAGGCCTCCTGGTGTTGTGGAGGGCACAGATTCAAGAAGGCAGAAGTCGCGGGATGCAGCAGCTGATGGGATGCGGGAGGTGAGGGAGGAGAGTCGCCAATGCTAGCATAGCCCCACAGAGGCGAGGGCAGTCCGAGGGAGTCCCCCAGGCTACACCTGGGAGTGCTGTGAGCCCACTCAGCGCTGCAGCTATGCACTAACTCTTGAGTGGCACCTGATGTCGGGGAGGGGCCCAAGGGAGGCTACAGAAGTACAGCAGCCCCGGGCCAGCCCATGGGAAGTGGAAGTAGTCAGTCAGGACCAGGTCAAGGGGAAGGAAAGGCCAAGGAAAAAGGAAGTCAAACGGGGGATAGTGGAAGGCCAAGGAGGGGAAGGGCCCCAGGACCCAAGTGGGCACTCCTTCCCTTCGCCTCCAGCCCAAGGAGGCAGCGATCTCAGCGCCAGATTCACTTTAGCTGCGTCAAGAGTTTCTGAATCCTCGGGGACTGGAGGCCGATTCTGGGCTCTAGGTGTTCCCCGTGCCAGGTCCAGAGATCATGACAGCATGGGGCCACGTCTCGAGTCCCAGGCCTACACCCGCGCTCCGCGCCCATGGGTCTGACGTCCGGGCCCTACCGAGGCGAACGGTGGCCCGCCTTTCTCTCCGCCCACTTTCTCACCTTCGGGCCTCCGCGGAGCAGTCCCCTCTTCCAGGAAACCCTCCGGAGGTCAATGGCCGTCAGCGTCCCCCAGCTGGGGGGCTGCAGCGACGCACGGGGGATCATCCCGGCGCTTCAGCACGCGACGGGGGCTGGGCCAGGCCGTGGCGCCCGTCTTTCCCTGCGGCCGTCCAGCCGCATGTCCCAGAGCCCGAGGGGCTCCACCTCCCGCACCCTCCCCGGGACTGCGGGGTCCTCACCGCACTCGGCCCACATCCCCCTTCCTGCAGCTGGCGAACAGGTCGCTGGTGTCCATGGCGTGGACGCTCGTACCCGGGCCGAACGACCTCGGGCGGCGACGCGGCGCACCCGGCGGATGTAAACACGCTCAGCTCCGCCCCGCCCCGCTCCTGGCGGCGCCCGGAGAACCCGCCCGCTCCAGCCTCCCCGCCCCGCCCCGCGGCCCCGCCCCTGCCCTGGGGTTCCCAGGCCAGCCGCGGCTCTCCGGCTCCGCCCCTGCACCGGGTTCCCCCGCCCGCCCCGCCCCAACCCCGGAAATAAGAACGAGACGGGCAGGCAGACGAGCTGGGTCCAGTGTGGTCTCCAGGCGGGTTTAATAAAGTCCTGGGGCGCAGGGAGCGCTGCCCGCCGCCCGCGGAGCCGGGGTTCAGGGGCGGGAAAGCGGGGCCAAGGCGGGCTTTGGGACCGGCCCCTTGGGCGGGAGTGAGGGAGCCGGACCGAGGCCGCCGTGTGAAGTCGTGGAAAGCGGGGAGGAGCCCTGCCGAGGGCCAGGCTGCAGGCGCGGCCCGGGGAGGCGCGGGCTCCGGGCCGACCGTTTCGGGGTCCGCCCTGCTCGGTCCTGGCTGCCCACTCGGCCTACGCCTTGGCCGCGCTCACAGGTGGGTGTCCTCCTCGAACACGTCCGAGTCCTCGGGGTCCCGCTTGCCCCCCATGAGCGCTCCCCAGCTCCCCGGGCCGTTGAGGGCCCCGCCGCCATTCAGGCTGGGGTGCTTCTCCGGCATCTCCGACTGGCTGTCGCTGGCCACGTCCAGCGTGGGGTTGTCGTGGCAGCCGTTCTCCACAAAGCGCAGCTCCTCGCCGTGCGACTGCGGCAGGGTGGGGAAAGGCCGTGGGCGAGCGAGCCAGCCCCCGACATCGACAGGCCTTGCAACCCTACCCAGGGGGTCCCCGAGGCACCCTCCACAAGTGCCAGATCCTTCTTTTCTGTTGCTGTAGCTCCTTTCTCAAAATAACTACTAATCGTTGGCACTACAAAGCCCTGTGGCTTCCCTGACGTCATTGATTCCCCAACAGTCCCCTAAGGAGACTCCACGTGTGAGGTCAGGGAGCATCACCAGGGCTCTTCCCGCTTCCTCTTGGGGAGGCCGCCAGGCTGCTGGAGCCTCTCCTTGACCCTTGGGCACCACCAACCTAGGGCTTGTCTCTTGTGAGGTTTCCAGGTGCTCAGGCCCAGGAGTGCCTGCCCTAGGGAGGGGCTGGTGGTGCCAGAAAGAGGCCCCCTGGTGGGGTCAGCAGCCCCCTCACTCCCTGTACCTCCAGTACCTGTCCTGGGGCTGGTGCCCTACAGAGCAGGTCACCCATGGGACCCTGTGCAACCGAGAGTCACTGCCTCCCCTTGCAGATGATGACACCTGTCTATCCATGGGCACTCTCCTTTCCACTGGCCCCCTGCCCCACCTGTCCCCACACTCACCACGTGCTTGAGCTTGGGCAGCCGGCGCTGCCAGCAGTTGTAGAGCAAGCCGAGCGCAATGATGATGATGCAGATGGCCCCAATGACCACCAGCACCACGAAGAGTGTGCCGTAGTCGCTGCGCACCTGGCTGGCCCGCGCCTGGCAGCTGCTGGTTGTGGAGTAGTTCTGGATGCCAATCTGGGGGTTGGAGGGACCAGGTTCCTCAGCTGAGGTCCTGGGGTGCCATGGCTCCACTGGGGTGGTTGCATTGGGCAGGGGCGGGGATGGGGGAGCAGGCTTAGAAGGTGCTGATGCTCCTGGCTCCTGAAGTTCCCTGGGGCCTGGGCTCGCCTCTACCCCATCCCCATCCTGTTCACCTCAGCACAGCTGCAGGCCTCTCCACCCCATGCCCACGTTCCCAGCCTCCACATCCCACCATAGCTTCTGCCTCGACCACTGAGTCTGAGTTCACTGTGGCCTTAGCCCCCCAGTGAGAGTGGACCCATGCTGCTGGACACCATCCAACCAGAAAGAGCCCCCACACCTATCCCTACCAGTTAGAGAGACAAGAGGTGTGAGCCCCCCATGCATCCTCCACCATGCAACTACTTCTACCTCAGTGGGGAGGGGTGGGCCAGTCAGCTTCCCATTGCCAAGGCCAGTGCAGGGAGGGATACTGAGGTCACACAGGCCATATGGAAGGTCACCCTAGCCGCCCAGCTTCCCGCCTTCCTACGGCGTGTTCACTGCTGGCATGTAGCTGCCTGCACCCCTCCACACTACAGGCTGTCATGGTTGGTCCTGCCTTCCTTGGCCAAGGAGATTCCAGGTGCCAGGCAGGCGCTCTCTCCACAGATCAGCATCTCAGCAGAGAGAAGCAGGAGGGCAAAGGGCTCCTCGGGTGAGGGGTCAGGGCAGTTCCCAGTGCTGAGGCCTAGGCTGCACCAGGCCCCCTTTCTGAGGCTGCCTGCAGCTCTTCCCTGGTTTCCTGTGAACCATACGTATATCTCCAGTATTTTTCTTGACTTTTTAAGTTATCGAGGGTCAGTTTTTCTTGCTAGATTCACCCAAGTATATTTCCAAAGACCTAGCATGGCTTTTGGCCAAGTCTGAATTAAGTGCCCAGTAAGGGCAGAATAGTCAGGGGCAGTGAAGAGGGGGGAAGGACTGTATAAACGTCAAGATTAGCCCACACTTCCACCAGCAGCCCCCCGTTCATGGACCCACGATTCCAGAACTGGGAAGGCCCTCCAGGCAGTAGAGCAGTGTGGTGAAAGGCTGGGGTTCTGGAATCAGGCTTCCCCTAAAGCCCGGCTTTACTGCTTACCAGTGGTGCCATCTCAGGCAGGTCATCTAACCTCTCCCGCTTCAGTTCTCATCTTCCATGGGGATCCCAATGGTACTCAACAGGTGCCTCACTTAACCCTCGCAACCCCATGGGGTGGTGGCGAGAACTGAGTGAGAGTCTTGCACAGTGTGGTGCTCAGTGGGCATTTGACATGCTCACCAGAGAAGCACCATCATCAGGGCCTCCACTCCTCTGGGATGCAAGGAGGCGGCCAGGATTACACCAATCATCTCTCCCACCAAAAGCGGCATCGCCTTCGGGAGTGGAGAGGGCTGATGATAGGGCACTGTACTCCATAGTGGGCAAAGGCAGTTTTGGTGGAGATGGTGGCTGTCTTCAAGAAGCGAGATGAGGAACAGAGGGACCCCACAGGCAAGGTGGTGTGAGGAGCAGGAGGAATGGGGTACCCTGCCCTCCCTTCCAAGCTTGTGCAGCAGCTGGGTAGGAAAGGTTGACTGGGATGGGCCAGGCAACCAGCAGATTGTACTGGGTGCGGGCACCTCCCAAGATAGCAGGGCTGCCTCCAGGCATCCCACCGCAGCAGGAGCAAGGGGCCTGGCTGCGCAAGCACCAGAAGACTCACACGTCCATGCCAAGTCACATGTCCAGGTCTCCCAGGCTCGCTCTTTTGGTTTCTGGAAACTGTCATGCTCTCCCCTCCCACCAGGCTGCATGGCATCTCTGCACTGTCCACCCAGAAAACTCCCAGTTAACCCTCATTGCCCCCAGACCCTTCCTCTCTGAGCCCTTTCCTGTCACCCTCTTAGCACAGTCCCCACACCCCCGTGGCCCCTTTCTGCCCCTGGCCATCGTCTGCACTGCACCATTGGTTGGTAGCATGCATGTGCACAGTCTTGCCCACAAAACCGTGTCTAAGGAAGGCCTGAAGCAAGGGATCTGCCCAGAGTATGCTCTGTCTTTTGCTCCTTTGAACCACAGGATTTGGGCAGCCTCCTGAGACTTTGAGGAACAGAGACGGGAGGGAGCATTTTAGAAGCTAACAAGTCCAGGTCCCTGTATTCTTACCTCCTCCAGGCTCCTGCGGATGTCACCCAGCATGGAAAGGACATCTTGAGTGGGCACCACCCCTGAGGGTAAGAAACACCGCTATCAGTGCAGCCATGGCCGAGATGCCCCTCCACAGGCTCTGGTCCCACTTTCCAACAGCTGGCCTGAGCCTCTGCCTCCCTTCCTGGCTCTAATTGCACACCAATCCTCAAGGCACATGCCTTCTCCTGTCTTAGACATGCTTTCCACTGTATCAATTTGTTAGAACATCGATTTAACACCAGACAGCCATTTGTGAAGCCACACACTGCCTTCTGAACACACCCCTTCTCCTCTGCCACACTAGGTACATTGCCCATTCATTTCCCACCACACCTGTTCCCCTGCCTCCTGTTCCCCATCCTTGATCCTCACACCCTCCTCCTCATCCCCAGAACCCAAGCTAGTGAGTGCACCTTGACCCCTAAGCTAGGTAGCTCAAACTACTGTCCTGGAGTTCCAAGTTCCGAAGTCCTTTTGTGTGCACTTTCCTCCTGTGGCTCTTGGGCTGGCTGCCTCCCACTGCCCTCCTGGGCCCTCCCATCACCTGCCCTCGCTCACCCTGCTCGCCCACCAGCGTCATGAGAAGGTGCTGCTCCTTCTCGCTGGGCTTGCTCAGAGAGATGTGCCAGGCCCCGTGGTGGCCGCTGCCATGGCGGGGCAGCACCTCTTCCACCAGGGCCAGGAGCTGCGGCCCACGGTGCTGTCGGAACACCTCCTACAAGGGCAGAAAGAGCCCCCCATGCTCAGTGAAGAAGAGGGGCTCTACTGAGCCCTCTGCCTCCAGGCCCAGCCCCGCATTCACACTCAACCCTCTGGCTATTCCCAGAGAAGCAACTCTGGTGAACTCGAGACCCTCTGAGAGTACAAGCCAGGGAATGTGGGAACCCCAAGATGCACACTCATTTGTTCACTTACACCAAGTGCTCCTTCCTGCCCTGGCCTCTAGCCATGAGAAAGTCTTGGGGCCTTGTCCCAGAGACACTCCCAGTTGAGCAGGAGGTGGGGGAGGGGGGATGATACATACCCCATGTACAGTGACAAGCCCAGGAACTAGGTACACAGAATGGGAAGGCCTATGGGAGAACTGCTCCCTCTGCACGGTGCTGGAGATGAACACACAGTGGGTAGGAGTGGCGA